TCTCAGTTCATCATTTCCAATCATTAAGCTAGGATAGTCAGCAATCAATTTAACCATTTCGCTCATAGCTTAACTATTTAACTGCTTAGAAACTGTATTACGTACGCTGGGAAAATTTCAGACTTGGATGCTCCGGGCAGCCAGATCTACCGGATCTTCCGTATAAAAGTGAGAAAATCGCTCATTCATATAACTATAGGACTATTCTACCAGAATCTTACCCAATTTGGGCGACCAGGGGTTAAAACTATAGGACTTATACTACCGTGCGGAAAAAAAAACTTCTAGAATTCCTAGAATACACGTTCAACACGTTCGAGCAGTCAACAGCTGAAAATTGAAGAATCTTCTTAAACGCCATCAATGCTATCAATGCAACATGAAAAGCAGACATAATCGAAGAACATGTATCACTTCGCTGTTTTTTGCTGATAGGGTGCTTTTGGATGCTATCAATCTCTTTTTGCAACTATACCTGACGTTTGCTTTAAAGTAATGACCCATAATAGCTATATGGAGGTTTCCTAAAATGGGGTACACTAAATCATCCATCTTATAACATGGTTTTCCATTATAAACCATCCATTTTGGGGTACCTTCATTTATGGAAACCCCCATATGATTAATATCTTATTGGATTTACCAGCAGGTGACTCTTTTTGCTGATGCTGAGTCAACACTAATCAATTCTGGCCTTCCTATACATTAACCTGATTACCTCAAACAAGGTCCAGCGGGGGTGTTTTCGCTTTCAAGTACCTCTCATTAGATTCAGCAAAAGAACGACAAACTCTTGTTGTCTATATAGATCATCCAAAATAATTAGTCAGAAAATCAGATTGTAATATCTTAAACGCTAAGTTTGTTTGTTTAATCTCAGTTTTGGACATATAACCAATCAAATGTTGAACATAAAATAAGTGAAGCAGTGAAATATGGGATGTAATCCATCAACAACACATGCGCGAATGGACATGTGGCGAACAATGTCTTAAATGTTTAAAGAGAGATCCAAAGGAATTTATGGATTATAAAATATGAATATGAATATGGAATTTTCTTACATATCACATGTGTTTAATTGGCAGCAGATCATCAGCCAATAGAAAAAATTGGGGATGTGACTGTGACCGTCACCGACAAGAAACTGGGAAGATCCCAGTTTTACTGTGGCCGATGTGTATATATATATATGTATATATATATATATACACCAACAGGGATTGATGCTTGAGCCACACTCCAAAAACAATGCGTTCAACGTCAACCCATCATCCAATTCTCCCAACTCCAAGTGTGGGATCTCACTATAAGAAAGCCATACAGCTACAAGTTGGTTTATAACCCCATCCACCTATATATATATATTATATCCGTCAAAATTCCAAGAGTTAGCCTAGTGAAAGAGACCAGTTTCCCGTACAAAACACATCAATCTCAATTGGTTTTGCTTCACTCCTGGGTCTTGCGAGCTAAGTCCCGGGGTCAACTGTTGATCATCAAAAACATACAAAAACTAAAAAAACATAGAAAATAATATACAAATATATATAAATATATATATGTATAAAAATATATATATATATTATATTTTGGTTGTTTTTAGAAGGCCTCTAACGTATGTCCCCGGGAATATGTCAAGACTTGAAGAGAATTATAATGGTTTTCATCACCTCAATTAAAAACAATATTAATTATATTTACTCTTTACAATTCTTTACGATTCTTTCCAATTCTTTTCATTTTTTTCTTAAAATTCTTTCCATTCTTTTCAATTCTTTCCATTTTTCTTACAATTCTTTCCAATTCTTTCCAATTCTGTACATTTTTTTCTTACAATTCCTTCCAATTCTTTTCAATTCTTTTAATTTTTTCTTAAAATTTCTCCAGTTATTTTCAATTCTTTTGATTTTTTCTTAAAAGTCTTTCCAATTCTTTTCAATTCTTTCAATTTTTCTTGTATAGATTGGTTTCACAAGTTTGTTGTTGATATCATGTAAATTTGATATCATATATAGATTTCGGTTGTTGATATCGTTGTGAAACCAAAAGGCATTTTTTGGTGATGTAACCCCAAAAATCCACAAAAGGACTAAAGTTTTAGGGTAATAGAAAAAGGGCTAAAAGAGGAAGGTTACGGAGACTCAAGGTACTCTCGGTTGTTATAGGAAATCTTCGTATTGGTGAACAGAGATAGTGCCGCAGAATTTTTTGCCATTGGCAGTGAAACCATGAATCCCGAATTCGCGGGAAGCTTGTAGGAAACCAACCTGCCAAGCACCCTCCAAAACAACCACGACCGCAGGCAACAAAATCAAACAACACAAAGTTGTTACCTTATCACCCAACAAATTACGCAGACGAAAGGCTGCACAAATGAAGGTTGGTACTGAGATGTACTGAGCATGCGCCGGGCTGTCGTGGAGGGGTTGGCTGCCGGTGAAACGGTTTGCCGTGGGAAATGGCGGAAATGAGATAAACAAATCATAATGTGGTGCCGGGACTTCAACCAATCATAATTTGAATGAACCTCTTTGCCCCTTGTCGAGCCAAGGCAGTGTTGAAAAGCCCGATCCACAGAAGATGACATGACGAAAAATGATTTCTTTTCCAAAACTGCCTGGACCCGAAAGGGGCAATCTCCCAAGACGGACAAGAGGCCAGCGCGAGGGGGGTGTTCCCAAACATCTGGAGGCACGTCATCTCTAAATGCAAAACTGAATCCGTGCAAACATCTGAATAGCATAACGTTGTCCCAATGAGCTATTGTGAAATCATAAATTCAACTGTGATGGCGTGCCTCGTCTGGGTTAACTCCACCCCCCGGCCACGGCAGCAGAATAGACTGTGGTGCTGGAAGGCATAAATCTATGGAAAAATCAATTGAAACAAAGGCTCGTTGGAAAAAAGATCAACTTCAGCATCAGTTTACTCTACCGCCCAGCCCCCGAGGGTTCACGGAAAGAGGGGAACAAACATCGTTTCGAAATCATACAAATAGTTTGTTTCAGCTTCCGTGAGCCCGAGAAAAATATGATTATCGAAGGAAGTTTAGAAGTCAAACTTCCTACAATATGGAGAGATGAAAAAGCAGTCAGCAGGGAGAAGAGTCAGAAGAGAAAAGATCAGAAAAAAGAAGATGCAGGTGCGCGAAAAGGTAGGAAAGCCGCGAAACATTGTGTTTTTTCGTCGTTTTGTGGCTCCGGAGGGTCGAAAAGTAGGCTGGCTAAAGCGGCGGGTGCGGAGACATCTGGGGAGATAAGAGATGAAAAGTTGCACGCCGTTGTGGCGCGAAGCCGATTTCGAAGTGAAAAGGTACAAAACACCTCAGCGCCGGACCACTTTTGGAAGTTGAGATGTTGAAAAAGTGCATGGCGTTGTGGCGCGAAGCACGTTTGGAAGTAAAATGTATTAAAAATTGAGGGGTTCGGAGCAGTTTTGGAAGTTGAGATGACGAAAAAGTGCACGGCGTTGTGGCGCGAAGCACATTTGGATGTAAAAAGTGTTAAAAACTGTTGGTCTCAGAGCACTTTTGGACGTTGAGATGCTGAAAAAGTGTACGGCGTTGTGGCGCGAAGCACATTTGGAAGTCAAAAGTGTTAAAAACTGAGGGTCTCGAAGACAGTTTGGACGTTCAGACGTCGTTTGTGTGGCAGGTGGAGTGGATTCTGCATCCACTGAAAGGTGACTAAAACGTGAGGGTTTTGTAGCATTTTCAAAAACGATGGCAGGCGTGGGAGATTTGAAGAGGATCTGCACAGATGCATTTTTCGTGGCAGGCGCAGTACAAGAGGCATCTTCAGCAGAGACGTTCGGAGCTCAAGGGGCTGATTTCCTGAGAGGGGTTGCATTTTGGCGTATCAAATCATCAGCTATGCCAAGATGCTTTTTCGTGACAGGTGCAGCATTTCGTATGACCTGGACTAACTTTTTCGTGGCAGGCGCAGTACTTTAGAGACATGGCTTTTTTCGCAAAACGCATTGGTACGAGGCCGTCAGCTGTACAGTCAACTTTCCATTTTTGAAGGAAGTCTCGCAGAATTGCTTCGCTTTTGATGTTTTCAACTGCAAGAAGAGGTAGACGGACAGATGCATGGATGAATCGATAGAGAAACAGAACGAAGAACATGGTGATGGATAGCTGCGGACATGGATCTAACAGAGAGAAGTAAGTGGATGGATGAATGGCTGGATAGACAGAAAGATAGACAGTTTAATAGATAGGTGAATAAACAAATCGATCGATAGATACATGAATAGACAGGTAGATAGGTAGATGGCTAGAAAGGTAGCTCTGTAGATAGATGGCGAAAGAGAGACACAGAGAGAAAGAGAGAAAGAGAGACAGAAAGGGAGAAACACTCAACCACCTTTCAATCCATCAGTGGGTTCGGTCTGCCATTTTTGCGTCGCACCAACTCACCTTTCCTATAAGTTTTCCATTTTTGAAACTTCCGCCACCGCCTTGTGCGGTACTACTGGTAATTATGAGTGAAACGCAAAACATGCAGTGAAACCATGCAGGTGGGGGTTGCTGTCAGTTGTCCAAAACTAGCATTCAAGAACGACAAATGAACGATATCCAGCACAATTGCGTCTCAAAATGCAACATGCAACGCCCCCATAATGCAGTGAATTCAGTGAAACCCTGGAGGCAGACCGGAGACATTGGCCGCAATCACCGCAAAAAGACATGAATTATGTACTGTAACGGGCTGATGCATCATAGAAACACATTGGCTTTGATTTGGCTGGTGATTCATGGGACTTTCGCATGAACAGCTGAACAGGAAGGGCAAAGGAAATTTCTCATTCCACCAAGTCACAACTTGCACAAGCTTTGTTACGGTCGGTGTGGGTCCTCTGCCAGGGCGCAGAGCCCCAGAAAACGAAAGCGTCATCCAACCGGACCCGAAGGAGAGATTCACCTCATGTTCCGCATTCATGCGGATTCAAGATCTATGCTACCCTGTACGCAGCTCAACCAAATGACTCCAGCCTTACCGGCGGCCTTTTTCCTTTGCCTTTGCCTTGGCTTTTGCCTTGGCCTGTGCAGCGCTCCTTTTCCGAAGGGCATTGGCTTGTGCCAGCTTTTTGCGTGACAAAAAGCGGCCAATCTCAGAGACTCCGCAGCTGCAAGGTCCTGAGGCCAAAAAAGTACCATAGAAAACAAGTACATCAAGTTTGGGAAAGCAATGCAGAACACATTAAGCATCGCAAGCAGTTTGGGCAAGAATGATGGACATGCCTGGGCCATGTTTGATCCAAGATGCTCTTTCGACCACGCGCTGCAGGGCAAAAGTCTCGGTGGCCCATTGCCCTCACCGACTTGAGGATCATGAGCGCCACCTCCAGGGTGATGGGGCACAGTTGCACCAGGCTTGGATACCCCACAAGACCTAGGTGAACCCAAACACATGTGCAACACATGTGCCTGCTCAAGGCAACCCTTCCACTCCACGTGGAAGATGCTGCCGCTGAACACTTCCTGTAAAGCTGGCTTGGCACAGTCCCATCAAAAAGACATGCCCAACCCAAAGAATGGATGCCCCCGCGCAGCGGGAAAGCTCCTGGGCAACTGGGCACCGGAAGCGCTCGTTGTCCTTCAGCATCTTGAGCAGCATGGCAATGGGCTGCCGATGCCGACTCTTGGACTTGCGCATTCTGCGCAGCTTCTCGACCTCGGGTGCCCCCAGGAAATTCAAAATATGTGACACATATTCTCTACTACTATAGGAGCATTGACCCAAAAACCCGGGTCTAGAATGGTCTACTAGCTGCTTCAACAACACAGTGGACTCTGGGCCCAAGGGTCTAAGAATATACTCAGGTCTTCCCGGTGCATACCCAGGCAATACATATGGGAAATCCTGTGCACAGTAAATGTGTGAAACAACGGATGCAATGGGCTCCAAAGCAGGGAGGAAGTACGGTACTAATCCATATACACTTGGTTGGCGTGCTGGTAAATGTTGTCTTTCTGTTCTCTTAACTGGAAACAGGAGCGCACAATCTGGATTTGCTCTGGCAAGAAGGGTACTTCCCAGTGGAAAGGTTTGGCAAAAAGAAATGCGGCTTCGCACACTCCTTTTCCAAAATATTCCCAGACACACCTTCTGTCACCTAAAGTACTAAGTACTACCAAACTAAGTACCCTAAAGTACTACCAGTCAAGACCAAAAAGTACTCCAAAGTATTGGCACAATTGTGCAAAGTACCTGGGCCTGCGCCCACCCTTCGGCCGTGATGGCCATCACTGCCATGTGGGTGCCGGCAGGCAGGCCGCCAAAGTCCTCCGCCAAGACCAGGAGAGGGGAGTGGGATTTCCACCTCTCTGTGCAAAGGACGAGGTCCTCTGCACAGGAGCCTTCCATGGAGGTGCAGCCCGCAGGCCCGTACTCCAAGCAGCCGAAGGCATCCTGACCCAAAAAAAATGCCATTCGCCGCAGGCAAGGCCACTGCGAATGTTACATGGAGAGAATCGCGTGAAAAGAAAGACAAAAGGGCCGGAGGGGTAAAACTAGAGCTAAGAAAAAAGAGAGAGCCATGCCCCGTAGGCAAAGCCATTGCAAATGCCGCATGGAGAGAACTATTTTCAAAAGAAAGAGAAAAATGCCGCAGGGCTAGAATGGTAATGTGTACGTGTATGGTGTGTGCATGTAATATGTATGTGTGCAACATCTCTATGCCAAGGTTCCCAAGCCCGCAGTTCTTCTGCCGTGTTCGCAGCGCACTCCGTCTCCTCCCCGTAGTCGGATGTCCCGAAAACAAGGAAACAGTCCTTAGATCAAGGAGAAGACCCTTGAACAAATAGCTGATCGGCATCCAGCTGTGGGACACGTAAGGGCTAAAGGAATCTTTCCTGTGTCAAGATGTATGGTGGCCTTTTAGCCCTTTAAAACAGGAAATCTGTTCCGGTTTCACAATTTGGTTGATGATATCTTTGATATCTTTGATGCAAAGAAAAGAACCGACAGAATTGAATTGTTGATAAAGAATGACAAGAATTGAAGAAATTTAAGAAATTTAAAAGGAAATAAAAAAAAACTTAAAAATAACGAATAATGACAAATATTCCGTACATATGTGTGTATATATATAAATGGTGAAATATTGAAAAAAATAAAAGAATTGTAAGAAAAAGAATTGTGAAATATCTTTTCAAACCATTTCGAACAATTGCAAGAATTATTCCAAAGAATTGTCAAAAAATAGAAGAATATGAACAGAATTGCCAGAAAAGAATTGAAGAATTGCCGAAAACTTTTGAGAATGGACGAAAAAAAATAGAAATAGATTTCTATTGTTGTACTCCACAAGCGCCTTCTAAAAACAGCTAATTTATATCATCCCTAGAAAATACCTTAAAAAACCCTATGAATCCCTAGCTTTAGTGATGAACTTTGCCACCTGTCCAGGAGGTCCTCCCGGGCCTCCATGGGAATGGGCCCTGCACCCACCACTTCCCGCAACCTGCCGGAGATCTGGAGCTGTCCTAAGTCATACCCCAAGAGCTGGGTGGGTTTATTTCGTGGAAGATCCCAAAACAAATCTGGTTGGTGGTTTTAACCATCTTGAAAAATATGAGTTCGTCAGTTGGGGGCAGGGGTCTTCCCAACTGAATGGAGAAATAAAATTCATGTTCCAAACCACCACTTTGTAGCACTTTGGCGCTCGTGCTGTCTTAGTCGTCGAAGACAGCCCTGTTGTTTCTGCATATCGAAACCTGTTGTTTCAACGGCACAGTTTCAAGGTGATCCAACTCCTTCGGCTGATTGTTCCAAACCACCAACCAGAAATGGATGATGAATTTTATGGTACCCCCGTGACTTAGGAAACCACCATTTTATAAAACGCCAGATACTTGACACCCCAAGACTTGACCATTTCCTTGTATATATCTGCATACCCTTCGGTCATCAAACATGGCTGGTTGGATTTGTTGTTTGCCAAATGGAGCTTTCAAATGGGAACATGATCTATAAATGGGAGCTTTTCCAAGTGCCACGTTTGATTACAGGAGGGTACTGGTAAGTTAACAGTTTGCTATGGAAAATCACCATGTTGATCCACTTTTAATAGGTAAATCACCATGTCAATCATCGAACATGAGGATGTAGCCGTGCATTTTTGGGGGGAAGCAACATTGGATGTGCATTCCACGAATCGGAAGTGGTTTAAAACGTATAAAATAGTATATAATAAAATATAATATAATATAACATAATATAATATAACAAAATATAATATAATATAATATAATGTAACATAATATAACATAATATTATCATTTAATATAACATAATATAATATAATATAACATAATAAAATATAATATAACAAAATATAGTATAATATAACATAATGTAATATAACAAAATATAATATTATATAATATTCTATACCATAATATAACATAATATCATATAATATAGAATAATATAATATAACAAAATAACATAATATAATATAATATAACATAGCATAATATAATATAACATAATATAATATAATATAACAAAATATAGTATAATATAACATAATATAATATAATGTGATTTAATGTAATACATATGTATATATTCATAATCATGTATATATATAAGTATATATTTACATATATACATATGGGTCAATTATAATTCACTAACCTGAAAAGTTCGGCCATGGCTGGGGATGATTCCCCACTCTGCGCATGATTCCAGGCGGATGCCAGGGATGCACCTAAAATTTTAGGGATGTTTCAACAGTTGATTTTTCCGCTTCAACTAAAAACATGGCAAACATGAGTCTGGATTCTGAGTACAACATAGTTCAACCCATTCCTGGAATTATTTTTCCAGTTCTTAGATTTCTGGATGCATTTCTTTTGGAGAATGACTTTCAACATTGTCGCGATGATGAAAATTATGCTTTCCCCAGTTCAACAAAAAAAGGATTGACATGCCCCAAGTGGGGTCCAAATCTCTCATGAGCAATACCTTGAGGTCAATTGAGGTCCCCCTTTTTGTCAAACACAAAAAATTAGAGTGGTGGGTACATGTTTTGCTCCCCACGCAGCCAAAAAGCCAAAAAGAACAGCAAACAATCCGCCTGTTGATGTTCATGCGCATCAGCACCTCAATCGCAGGATGATTTTGTGATTGCAGGGATGGTCTCTTCTGAACCGTCAATCAACCACCTGATTTTCCATATAGAATACCCTCCGAGATTATTTGTTCCATAGCTATTGAAGCCATGGCCAATTTAGTTCGTTGATTTACCGAACTTAAATTAAAGATGATGATTTTTCATAGCTTTTTGACGTTTTTTGTATGTTTACCAGGGGGTAGCTGATTACGTGAATATGATACTCTCTCATGTGAAATATATCCGCCGACCTCCTGAGCGAGGGGAGCACACCAGGGAATAATAGTTTCAGACAGCCGCGCAGCAACAAGAATTCCAACAACAATGCCAACAACAATGCCAACAACAATTCCAACAACAACAACAACAACAACGACCCCTGCGAGTCTCTGGCATCCCAATCACCTGCTGTGCATCGTTTTTCAAGCCTTGATACGGCCCTCATTGCTCCTCTGGTAGCATTGAAACCATACACGACCTGAACGTGGCTCTGCCTGTCGTAGGTTTCTCCGCTCCAGCGCATCATATGCGGAGCAAATGAAAGTTGATGATTGATGTGTTTATGTCCGCCGCCATTTCCGCGAGAGGCCTCATCACAACTCTATTTAACCCATATTTAACCCATATTTAACCCATACTAACCCATATTTAACCCATATTAACCCATATTTAACCCATATTAACCCATATTTAAACCATATTGACCCATATTTAACCCATATTAACCCATATTTAACCCATACTAACCCATATTTAACCCATACTAACCCATATTTAACCCATATTAACCCATATTTAACCCATATTAACCCATATTTAACCCATACTAACCCATATTCAACCCATACTAACCCATATTTAACCCATATTGAGCCATATTTAACCCATATTAACCCATATATAACCCATGCTAACCCATATTTAACCCATATTGACCCATATTTAACCCATATTTAACCCATATTAACCCATATTTAACCCATACTAACCCATATTTAACCCATATTAACCCATATTTAACCCATATTAACCCATATTTAAACCATATTGACCCATATTTAACCCATATTAACCCATATTTAACCCATATTAACCCATATTTAACCCATACTAACCCATTTAACCCATATTAACCCATACATATTAACCCATATTTAACCCATATTTAACCCATTAACCCATATTTAACCCATATTAACCCATATTTAACCCATATTAACCCATATTTAACCCTAACCCATATTTAACCCATATTAACCCATATTAAATAGACTAGCTAGTATACCGTGACCCTTTACTAAGAACCCATCAGCAGTGTGGCAAAAGCCATGGAAATTGGCACATTTATAGTTGATCTTTCTATTATAAATGGTAATTTTCCATAGCTATGTTAGTTTACCAGAGGGTACCAGCAGTTGTTTGGTCTAAAACGCAGCATTTTAAGTGAAAAGGCAGCACAACTTTGAACATGTGATGGTGCACGCATCCGATTATATATGATTATATGATTCTATTGCATGGGCATCTATACTGTAGGTCTACAGTATGCGGCAATCTAACCGCACAATGGACAATCCGTCAAAATATCCGCTTAGATGAACAATTCCTACAAAAGTATCGAACGAAGGACATTCCCCGCAGTCTTCAGGGACTTGTAATCATCACCATGGTATAACTCACTTTTTATGCCACTATCGAAAAAAATGGAAAAAAAAACACTCAGAAATCCACGTGTTTCTCACTGTTTCTCATTGAAAATGCTATGATTTTCCCCATGTTTTCCCACATCTTTCGGGTCCCATCCGATCATCCCCAAGGCACGGCCGCCGTCAGGGTCACCGTCCCAAAGACCTTGAAGGAAGGAGTTTTTTCCCGTCAGGTCTCAAAATATGTGGATTCCCGAACTATCCATGGCAATGTTGGTAACTATCCATACTTGGTGGTTCATCCCAGTTAGTAAGTGGATTATAACCCCAGTTATAAGTGAACTAACCCTACTTAGCCCAGTTATAACCAGTGGTATAACCTACTTACAAAGTGGGGGTGAACCACCAAGTAACTATTAGGTGGATATGAGGAAACTACATGAAACTACATGAAACTTGGTAACTATCCATTAATAGTTATTAATGTTGGTAACTATCGGTTAATAGTGATTCATAGTGATTGGGGAAACCATCATTGATGAATCACTATTAAATTATTAATATCCATTGCCAATCAGCCAGATACCCTGCAAAAAATGACAAATTCGTTGCTGGTGAACATAGATATTCCCATTAAAGACTAAAGGATTACAGTATCCAAGTAAGATTGACCTAGTGTTCAAACCTATTTTGGCCGCTTGGGAGGATCATATGTCTTTTTTCCAAGGGCATGTCCAGATGATTTCTCGATGAAACCATGGCGTTTTTTTTGGGTCCTTTTCCATATGCGGATGGATGGGTCAAAACCCTGTACCTGTACTGTTCACATCAAAATAGCCCGTAAATCGATGTTCATCTCCCTACAAAAATTGTCATTATAGGATAGTATAGGTATAGAATGGTATAGATCCATAGCCATATCAGTGGATGGGCCAGCGAAATCCGATAAACCACCAATTTGGGATGGTTGAAACATGTTGAAACCCCAACAAAATCATGGGATGTTTACCACCGTATGAAAAACTGGTGCAGGGTATGGGCCTCCGCCAATGCACGGTTCCAGCGAATCAAACTGAACTGCGGACCTGGGAGGCGGCAGAAGGGCCGCGGCTATCCATGTGAGTCCCGCTCAACAGGTCTAAGCAACATGGTATTATGATCAATTTTGATCAATTACATATTCAAATGTAATTCATTATATCGATCAATTACGATCAATCATACCAAGTCAACTAACCCCAAATTCATGAAAGCATATGAAAGCCCACAATAATTTTCTTGCAGACCCAACAGAATGGCTGGAGCCTTCATTCCACACCGAGATTTTTCGTTCTAAACCTCCAGCCTGCGAGGTCAACTTTTTCGGGGCCAATCACTACACAGCCTTGAAACCAGTTGAAACCAGTTGAAACCAGTTGAAACCAGTTGAAACCAGTTGAAACCAGTTGAAACCAGTTGAAACCAGTTGAAACCAGTTGATCTTTAGAACCTGAACTCTGTCGAAAAAAGTCTGGCGGAATTTCCGGGTCATCCCTGAAGGCCCGCACTCAGCAAATAGACCACTTCCAACCACATCACAATGGGAGACACCTGCCGCAGCAGCCAATGTTGCCATGATCTTCCCCAAAAAAAAACATCATGGGCCAATCATGGGCATGTCAATTTCAACTTGCTGTGCAGAGAAAAAAGAAAAGAAACACCAAAGATCGTCGGGAAAAAATGAGCTGATCATCCCAGTGTTTTAGGGATTGAACATCATTTCAACTACCTGCCACATGATAGCCTAGCGTAGTTTACCCAGAACTGTCACTGCCATTGCCACCACTGGATCGCACCAGCTTGCCAGTCACGTTGGCCATCAGAATGGTCATTTTCTTCAGCTTTCGCTTTTCGGCCGCCATGCTGACCAAGGACAGACCAGGGCCCAGGGCCTCACCTTCAATGTCTCCGAAATCTCACAGACATACGTCATCTGGGACAGATTGAGCTTCGCAGGCGCTGAGGCTTTGCCTTCCGCACATTCTTTGGAACTGCCACAAAAAGGGGCCGTTTTTGCAAAACGCTGGAGCTGCATCACCAGGATTTCCAACACTGCCATTGGGAGTTGCTGTCACAACAATCTTTGCAAAACAAAACATGTTTACTTGGTTTCAGCACCATGTTTAGTTGGTTTAGCAACCATCTTTTCCCAAAAAAAACTGTTTAGATATTCATAGTTTGTTTTCCCACCATATTTAGCTGTGGCTTATACACACATCATTTCTCCATAAATATAGTTTGCCCCATTAAAAACATTTTTAAAAAAAAGAGCACACACACGACATCCCCCCAGATGAAAAATACTGTCCAGGCTTGACCCAGAAGGGCTTACTTTAACCACCATTTTGTCATGTTGCCCCCCACTAAAAAAAAAACCTTTAGATCTGTAAATGTTTTCCCAGCAGCTTAACAGTAGAACCACCATTTGATCCAACGGGGTTTGTCTGAAAATAGCCAGCCCCCCGTTCCACCCAACGGTTTTTCTCATCATTGTCCGATCTTTCTAATGGCTATGCCGGAGACACATAGCTTGAAAAAGTTTCTCATACCTAGGACCGAGTTTTTGTATAACCACATAAGAACCCTGTTATCACCACTTCAGTATATACCGTATATACCCACCACTAAAAATCTGTTAATGTTACATAATGGTAAACACAGAAACAGCTCATCATATCATATTAGCTTTACAATAGCTTTAAGAAAATATCAGAATATATCAGAAAATATCACTAAATTCATATTTAATATATAACATTATGTACTGGTTGGTGGTTTCAACCCCTCTGAAAAATATCAAAAGCCAGTTGGGATGATGACATTCCCAATATATGGAAAGTCATAAAAGCCATGTTCCCCACCACCAACCAGTATGACATTATATAACATTATATAACAGGAGAATAACACATATTAACATTATATAACACATATTAACATTAAGTAACATGAGATAACACATATTAACATTAAATAACATTATATAACATTAAATAACATTAAATAACATTATATAACCATATATTAACATATAATTCTATAACTTTCATGTCACATCTTCTCATCCCTAGATTTTCCCATCCTTTGTTTCCCGCTTCCACCTCCTGGCGGAGGCGCAGCATGCGCTTGTCGTCCAGCTCCTGGATGGCCAGCTCCACCGAGTAGATCCGCATCTGGCGGAGACGACGGAAGTTTGTTTTTGGCCTCCAGATTTATATCATTGGTTGGTGGTTATACAAGGTGGTGCCCCATAGTTAGCTAAGTTGGTTTATAAGTCCAATAACTAGGGTTTATGGAGGTTATATCTATAGTTAATGGGGATTATAAACCAACTTATCTGGGGGGCACCACCTTGTAAATGATATACCATCTGGTTATTCAACATAGCCATGGGAAGATCCACCATTTTTAATAGGTGAACCATCTATAAATGGGCCATTTTCCATGGCTATGCTAAATAACCAGAGGGTAATTATCCATAATATGATAAAATACTTATCCTCGGAAATAAAAGAAACTAGTTGGTGGTTGGTTGAGCCACCCCTCTGAAAAATGATGGAGTTCGTCAGTTGGGATGATGATTATTCCCAATAGATGGAAGAATAATCCAAATGTTCCAAACCACCAACCAGAAAAAACGTTGAGAATGAGAAGTGATGTTAAAACAGGTTATAACTATTATAAAGCTAGAAAAAAATAAGGGATGTTGTTTTGACCAAAAAAATCTTTGAGAATCTTATCATGTTAGGATACCTAGGAAAATGTATGACACTGTTTTACTGAGTTAACCAAAAAACAATGGGGAGAAGTGATGATTTGTTCCTAACAAAACTGGTGGGAAGTGAAATTATTGTTATAAAGCTAGAAAAAGAAGGTGGATTTGAGCAAATTCGCTGGGGTCAATTTGGGAAGTTACCTGGCGAACATTGGGGGTTGAAACCGAAGAAAAAAGCAAAAATGATCATCAACACATCTAGGATTTAAGATGATTTAATAAGATGATTTAAGGATAAAAGATTGGTGGTTCCGACCAAAAAGGATACCTAAGTACATGGCCATTTCATACAATTTTCACATGTGGCGAAAATCAGGATCAAGCATGAGATTTTCTGGGGGGTTCATGGTCAATCTCATCAATCTCTGTCCACAAGAAATCCATATCTGTTGCATTTTTTTGCAAAATAATATATATATATATACTGGTTGGTGGTTTTTCTACCCCTCTGAACAATATTGTCAGTTGGGATGATGACATTCTCAATATATGGAAAGTCATAAAGACCATGTTCCAAACCACCAACCAGTATAACATTATATAACATTATAACTCATTATTTATATATACAGTCGAGGGCTGAAGTCAGAGCAATTTTCTTGAATGTGGACAAACCGCTTGCGGAAAAGTCGCCACGACCGGGTCACAGCAGGGTCACAGCAATCCATCAAAACACAAGGGGATTGCCTTCATTTGAAGGATACAAAGTACCATTATAACAAACACGAGAGAGCCCACCCCTCGCACTGCAGACTACTCTTCTGCCAGCACTGCTTTGCATTGCTAACAATCATTCTGCCACAATGGTTTGATTTGAGAAGGAGTAAGACTGAGTGAACGAAGGAAACAATGAAAAGAGAAGAAGTAACAGTCTGTGAGAAAGAAAGAGAAGAAGATAAAATAAGGAACAAACAAAGAACACAAATGAAAACAAGTGCTGAAAATACAACCGAACGACCAACCGAACGACCCCCCGAACGACCCCCGAACGACCCCCCGAACGACCCCTGATTCATGAGTTGTCAAGCGCAGGACCCAGGGCCATCATTGACCACAACATGAAGTGCGGAACTCCCTGCGCCACCGCACCCCTTCTTCATCCCAAACCATCAAATAAAGAAAACGAACGTCCCTCCCATCCAAAAGAGGTATGTAAGAGGAATGACCAAAGGGACGTTGCCCCCATGTAAGCTAAATGTTAAATATGCTGGAACAACCTCAGCAAATAATACATAATACGAGCGCCGGGCCCAAGTCACATCATGCGGGAAAAGTCACATCATCCCCATGGCACGGCGGCGATACAGGGCAGGTAGTGGAAAGTCACATCAGGGAAGAAGAACCACCATGGCACAGCCTCTTTCATCTATAATTAGAGATTTAGTTAAAAGTAGCCGAAGCATTGCGCACAGCGATGATTTTGAAGGGCACAAGTTAATACAAACAAATTCTCGGCAGCTATTCCTATTGGATTTGAACATATTATATATATTGATGTCCTGCGTCGCGCGACCACATCAAACCCCTGTTGGTACAGCCTCAAATTTCTTGCAATGCAAATGGGTTAGCTGTAGCAAATCCTATTGGCAGGGCTATGATCTAGCATGATATAAGGATATGGAGGCCCGTTGTTTTCCGCAGCCAAATCTATGGCTGGCGCGATGTGCATCAAGGTCATGGGCAGCTCTCAGAAAGTTTGTTGTCCTATCCACCCAGGCAAGCAAGCAGCAGCAGCAGCAAGCAAGCAGCAAGCAAGCCAGCCAGCCAGCCAGCAAGCCAGCCAGCCAGCAAGCAAGCAAGCAGCAAGCAGCAGCAAGCAGCAGCAAGCAGCAGCAAGCAGCAGCAACAAACAGCAAGCAGCAGGCAAGCAGGCAAGCAGGCAAGCAGCAGCAGGCAAGCAGCAGCAAGCAAGCAGCAACCAGCGTTTGCCACCTTGAATGAATGAACAAATATAAGCTTTAAAAATCAACGCGATACTAAAAATTGAACTTTTTCCAGGCGCACGGCCTCCCGATACGACTTTAAGAAACTGATGCGACTTAAACCGAGCACTTGTATGGTCATCCAAGAACCCAACGGAAATACATGGATTTGACTTACAAAAGCCTCTAAAACGATTCAACAAATCACTGCAAATCTCATAGGCACAGCCACAATCGCTACGACCCCCCTGAAAAGCTTCGCCCAATGGTATGGACTCAAAAGCAAAGAATCGCTACGACTTTGACCCTTGACTGTATATATATATATATAACCATATTAACTGTCATGTCACATCTTCTCATCCGTAGATTTTCCCATTTGTTTATGGTTCTGTTCCATCTAAAAAGCCGTTGCAGATTTTCCACCCACCGCCGGTTACCTTGTCGAAGTGCAAATCGAGACCTTGGGGCGCGACGCGTCAACGCCATAAGTTGGGGCGTGGAAAGCGACCTTCTCTGCATAGACTTACTGGTGCTTAGTAGGGAATGGATGGGAATGGGGGTTGCTGGGATGATTACTAGTGGTTAATTATTATGGATCATTCCCTCATTGCCTGCATTTCAATATCTACCCGGCCTGGTAAACATACAAAAAGCTATTGAGAATAGCCATAGAAATAGTGAGTTTTCCCATGAAAAATGGTGGATCTTTCCATATCTACCCTCTGGTAATAAACTAACATAGCTATGGAAAATCACCATCTTTAATAGGTAAATCAACTATAAACGGACCATTTTCCATAGCTATGTAAACGTTTACCGCCGGGTAAATAAAATATGGTAATGCTAAGGGTCGAGCTGTTCACTCAAAGATGGTAATTCATTCAAACGCATTCATTTGGGTTAACCAACCAAATAGGGATATGGATTGGAATGGGGACATTTTCTTGATGATAGGACACAATTGTTTATCAATGATATCACGAAACAAACCAACCAAGAGTGGTTTATGAATGGAGCATATGACCTAGAGTGGAGTCATAAAACAGGCAAATATCATATAGTGATAAAATCTAAAAATTCCTGGATAATAAACGAGATTGAATGGCAAACCCAAGAATATGGACAAATTGACTTTGCTGTTTAGTGTTCCATCCCTTTCGTCCGCCAGAAAATTGGAACATTGGGAGAATCCTCAAGAGTTGGGATCATTTCCCAGCGAAAAAACACCTCCAGTTCCGAAATTTGCCAGCAGCCCGCCATCAAATGTTCTGAGACCAGTGAGGGTAAATCCCATTCTTATCCCATTGTATTCCCATGAATGTTCCACCAACAGTCTGACTGAAACTATTCCATTCACAACCAAAATTTAAGCGTTGGTTAAATGACCAACTGGCTAGAGAGGCCATTTGAAATCCAAAACAACATATCAAGTTGGTTATTATATATCCCAAAATAGTCCCATTATATTCCCATGATATCACATTATATATATATAAATCCCTATTGATTGATGGTCCATTTCCCAATTGTCATATATTTCTATCACAATATACCCCATGCATAATCCATTAATATCCTATCTTATCATGGTTAATCCCATGACTATTATATAAATCCCGCTAATATCCTACAGAACATCCCTCTTTGTTGATGGTTAACCAGAGGTTAGTCATCCTAGTCCCATTATAAAAGGGATTAAATCATCCGTGAATAATGACGCTTGAGTCTCCATCAATGGGGTTTTCCATGATCTCCAATAGCTGGTTGATAAAATCATAAAAAATCAGGGCAAAACCCAACCCAAAATTGCATGAATTTAGGAACTAGGGGATACACCCATGACTTCGGAAACCTCCATTTCCTTTCGGAGCCCACCAAAACGTCACCAGGTGGTCCGCACCGGTATCCGCCAGGCCGTTAGTGATCCAGTTCTGGTCCGACGCGAAGGGGCGAGACCTGAACGTCTGGATGGATTTTGGATCATTTCGGCTGATTCACTGGGCGAATTGAGGGGAAAATCGGAAGGGTTTTTCCATAGACCAAGTTTGGGGGATAGCGTTTCGTAGGTTTTGAACTGTGGAAACCCGGAGTTCGGTGTGTGAACACCGTTCTTTTCGATTCCAAGTCATCTCACGACAAGTTTTTTCACTTTCAATTGCCATCCCCCGTTATCAAATTGTGAGGTAGACTAATTGGCACACCATCCATTGTCTTCTCAACGTATCAAATTCATATCCTCATTCTGCTCCTATTTTCCATCCCAATCACCATTCCCAAAGAAATTTCCATCGATTTTTTTTTGTTTCTCAAAACAGCATAAATTTCCACATGACATCACAAAATCACCAGAAAATTCCCGAGAAAATCCTGGAAATCACAAAAAAAAATAGAAAATCCTCTGAAAATCATGGAAATCCCAGAAAATCTCTCGAAATCCCGGAAATCCCCAGAAAATCCCCATGTTTTCCGTAGTCTTCCATGGTTTCAACGTCCTCCCGCGCCTTTCTTCGCGTTCCTCCAAGGACGCGCCCCTCGAGTTGCGTTTCACCACCGTGGCTGCGGCCGCGGTGGTCACGGTGCTCAGGGCAAAGGACATGGTTGCCTCAGCGGCGGTAGGTACGGGAACCAGGAAGGAAATTGTTTAATTGAAAGTAGTACAAACATATAAATTTGCTAGGTACTAGATTATTTTTTGTATACTTTTTAATTAGGTATTAACTAGTATATTGATACATCTGAGTAACTTACAATATATCTGGGTAAATTACACCATGTCACGAAGCTGAAAGAAAACCATTTGGGGAGAGTTACCCCTTACCATGATTCTAGTGAGGTCACAATGAAGTCACTATAATTTATCCCGATATATTAGTGTATCTTTAAACATATATATATATATACATACATGTACCAGCTGGTTTTACTAACATATAGTGTGATAGTGTTGCATAGTATTGCATATCCTTTGCTATCATTTAGGTAATATCCAATTGGTATTAAAAAGAAGTATCATATACTAACTAATAGAGAAATACAAATAATTGGGAAGGTTGTGGAACATATGGAATATTGACATTCTATAACTATTTTGGAATATGTATTCGATTATATTAGTATATTAGGTATAAGTTGGAATATTTGCAAACATAAATTATGATTAGTATGTGTGATTCGTATATATGATCCCAATGTATGATTAGTAAGCATGAGAAACAAATAAGATTAGTATAGTATATAGTGTCACTATACATGATTGTTTTTTGGCAAATACCAATTAATACCTATATAGCTTCGTATATATAGGCGAGCATTGGTTTGTACAATGCTACTTAGGTACTAGTTGATGCATATTTCTGCTAACATATTCAATATGATAGTATTGCATATGCGGTAATATATGTTGGTTGGTGGGTTCGTTTTTCACCCCAAGAATTCTATGATTCGATATATATATATATATACATAGATACATATACCCAACAATGATAGGTGTTGTGTTTACCAAGTTAGCGATTCTGAACTGGGGCACCACCTTCATGATTAAACATTAAACAAACCCCATTACATACCCCATTGATCCAACCGGGGATGGGTCAAACGTTAAGACTCAGGGCACCACAGATTTTAGTCTATTTTTAGTATTTACTATCTATTTTTAATGGTGCCCAAGTTTGACCCTTTACCCTGAAATTATTTTTTTGTAGGTAAATCATCTATAAACTAGTCATTTTCCATAGTTATGTTAGTTTACTGGAAGGTAATCCATAATACCGATCCCCAATTCACTATCAACTACAGTAACCATCTCCTTTCCTGGTCGATCCTGCTCGAAAAACGCCAAATCTCAGTGTCCCACCACCCGCGACTCCGCTCTGCCTTTGGCCTGGCAAAAGTGGAAAAATGCTGAGGATTTCAGCATCCAAAAGTATGGATTTACAGGGTGGAAAATGTGGGAAAAGGTGACTGATAATGATTTATCATGATTTATCATGATTTGTATGGGTTTAATTCGGTTTATATGAATTTATGAGGAAAAATGTGGACCAACTACCCATGCGCTTTGGATGTGTTTTAAAATGGAGGGTTTACCACTCCAAAAAATGCAGGCATTACCAGCCGCATGAAATGGGAATTTGATCATCAAAAACAGTGATTTAACCCATGAATGGGCTGCAGAGATCATTGATTGCCTCTTCGAGGGGTGCAGCAATGCCTCGCTTCCCAAAACTGAATTCGGGGTGCCACTGGATGCCAATGCATCTGTGAGGGTGTGAAGATGTAGATCTGCAGATGTGAGGGTGTGAAGATGTATTACAACGGCTGCTTTTTTGCGAAAAACCCTTCGCAGGCGCTCGCGGGAAAAATTATAAAGATGTAATATAAAATATACAAGAATTATATAAGATGTAATATATAATATGCAATATGCAATATACAAAACATAAAATATAATATTGAATATATAATATATAATATGTTATATGTTATATCATATATATATATATACGTGTACGTATACGTATACGTATACACACATGGTCAATTTCTCAGCAACACGAGGCTCTGGCTGCTCCACACGAGTGATGCGCGCACCCAGCTCGCACACCAAAGAACTCAGCTTCGTGGCGAAGTCTTCAAGGTTCGACACGGCCTCCACGGCCTTGCAGATCAGTACTCCTCAGTTCACGCTGACGAATGCTACAAATTTGGATAGGAAATAACGGACGCCGACGCATACGGTGCAGCCGAAGGAGTCGACGTGGTAGCACCCCGTGGACATGAAGTCCGTGAATACTCCGTAGGAGTTTCGGAACGTGGCGGCATAGGTGCCGTCGGGTCCGGAGACGCCGAATGTTCCGATCATGTTTTTTGGCAATCGGCGAATGACGGATGGAAGCCCGAGAAGTTCGCTTGATTGCCACTCTTCGCTTGTTCCGTTGTGGAGACAAGCGACGAGTAGATGAAATCCCAGGCATATGCCGAGGATAGTGTTGCCGAAGCATTCTGACGCATAGACCATGGGATCTTCGGGCATATGCCATTCTTGGAAAAACCATATGCTTCATACAGGGTGGGGCCCCATAGTTAGCTAAGTTGGTTTATAACTACCAGTAGTACCGCACAAGGCGGTGGCGGAAGTTTCAAAAATAGGAAACCTATAGGAGAGGTTGGTTGTTGTGAATCAGGGATGGCAAAGCGAATCCACTGATGGACCGAAAGGTGCTTGAGGTCTCCTCTCTGTCTCTCTCTTTCTCTGACTATCTACTTACCTACCAGCCTATCTTCTATGTATCTATCTATTTATCGATCTATCTATCTCTCTCTCTCTCTTTCTCTCTTTCATCTACTAGTAATTACTTAACTTGGTTCAAGAGCTATACTCTGTAGAGGGCCTAGAGGGTATATACGTATATACATATAGGTTCCGCATTTATTTACAACATATATGGGCAATATGTGTCACATATGCCCCCACAATTGTTTTTCACATATGCGCAAATGTCCGTAAGATCTGATTTTGTGTAAATAAGATCTTACGGACATATAATATATGTCAGTAAGACCTTATCTACGTAAAACAAGATCTTGAATCTTAAATATATGATATGTGATACATAAATGTAATGTATATGTAATGTGCAACTGCAAATGTGTACACAAATGTCTACATGGATATATGTATATGATCATGTCCGCCTGTACTCTACAGAAACCTGGCCCACATAGCTCTTGAATCAAGATAAGTAATTACCTATCTACCTATCTACCTATCTACCTACCTATCTACCTATCTACCTACCTACCTACCTACCTATCTATCTATCTATCTCTCTCTCTCTCTCTCTTTCATCTGTCTATCTGTCTAGCTGTCTACCTGTCTATCTATCTGTCTATCTATCTATCTGTCTACCTGTCTACCTGTCTATCTGTGGTGCAGTGTCATTCAGTGTATTGTAGTGTAGTGTAATGTAGTGTAGTGTAGTGGGGTGTAGTGGAATGTAATGTAGTGTAGTGCAATGTAGTGTAGTGTAGTGTAATTTCGTGTAGTGGAGTGTAGTTGTGTAGTCGTAGTTGTAGTTGTAGTGTAGTGGAGTGGAGTGTAGTGTAATGTAGTGAAGTGTAGTGGAAGGTAGTGTAGTGTAATGTAGTGTAGTGTAGTGGAGTGTAGTGTAGTTGTGTAGTTGTAGTTGTAGTTGTAGTGTAGTGGAGTGTAGTGTCATGTACTGAAGTGTAGTGGAAGGTAGTGCAGTGTAGTGTAATGTAGTGTAGTGTAGTGGAGTGTAGTGCAATGTAGTGTAGTGTAGTGTAATAGTTAGTGTAGTGGTATTGTAGTGGAGTGTAGTTGTGTAGTTGTAGTTGTAGTGTTGTGTAATGTAGTGTAGTGTAGTGGAGTGTAGTGTTGTGGAGTGTAGTGTAGTGTAATGTAGTGTAGCGAAGCGAAGCGAAGCGACATCTGAACCTCCAAAAGTGGTCCGAAACCCTGGTGTTTTTAACATTTTGACTTGGAAATGTGCTTCGCGCCACAACGGCGTGCACTTTTTCGACATCTGAACCTCCAAAAGTGGTCCGAACCCCTAGTGTTTTTAACATTTTTACTTCGAAATGTGCTTCGCGCCACAACGGCGTGCACTTTTTCAACATCCGAACTGCCAAAAGTGGGCGCGAACATGTGGTGTTTTGTACATTTTGACTTGGAAATGTGCTTCGCGCCACAACGGCGTGCACTTTTTCGACATCTCAAGTGCCAAAAGTGGTCCGCACCTGGTGTGTTTTGTACATTTTGACTTGGAAATGTGCTTCGCCCCACAACGGCGTGCACTTTTTCGACATCGCAACTGCCAAAAGTGGTCCGAACCCCTCAGTTTTTAACACATTTTACTTCCAAATGTGCTTCGCGCCACAACGGCGTGCAACTTTTCATCTCTCATCTCCCCAGATGTCTCCGCACCCGCCGCTTTAGCGAGCCAACCCTCCGGAGCCACAAAACCACGAAAAAACACAGTGTTTCGCGACTTTCCTACCTTTTCGCGCACCTGCATCTTCTTTCTTCTGATCTTTTCTCTTCTGACTCTTCTCCTTGCTGACTGCTTTTTCATCTCTCCATATTGTCGGAAGTTTGACTTCCAAACTTCCTTCGATAATAACAATAGTGTATGATGTATGATACTTATAGCTATATTTAGATGGGGTTATAAACCAACTTATAACTGGGGGGACATATGCTTCATATGTGTGTTTTCTGATCTACGTGCGGGTCATTTGCAGGGGTATATTCATGAACACTTGGATTGCGGGCTGCGCTACGGGGACGGGCGGAGGGCCAAGCAATCATCAGTTTCTTCAGGACTTCGCCGCTAATCCAAAATTGTTGCTGACCGGATTGCCTACAGTACGTACTACATATGAAGGGGCAAAAAAAAGGTAATGTTGGATGTATCAACACGCTTAACAAAAGTTTTGACGAAGTGCCATTTCCTGGCCATCTACAAACACGACTGGTCATCCATCGACCACACTAATCTGTAGGTCAAGTAATTTGGCGTTCTGGTCGGCATGGGCACAACAACTGGACTGGACCTAACAGCTCCCAACTGGTATCATGGACTCATGGGCACAAGTGTGTGTGTGTGTGCGTGTGTGTGTGTGTTTGTTTTAATATGTCTAGCCAACAAATCGTGGTTTAATATGGTCTAATTGCCTTGACATATCACTATATCATGATACCTTATGGTCTTTTCTCAACATGGTCTGCTGGAACAACCCCCGTTCAGTTGGATGATGTTCCCATTTAAATGCCCATTCAGCCAGGCCAGGCATCGTTGCTTTTCCAGATAAAATCCCTTCATAATTCATGTCCCCTTATGTATATCCTCATTATCCTCATTCTACCACCCTTTTTCGTTTTAAATCATGTTAAATAATGTCCAAATTACCCTTTTTGCCAAAAACATCAAAAACATCCAACCCTTTCAGTTTTTTTCAAAGATATGTGGGTCTGTCTGAAAATGTGGTATATACGTTATATATAGCCATAAAAAGTTGAAATGTTGATCCCAACAACAAACCCCAAAAAGTAATCAAAAAGGACAACACCCGCACCAAGGGCAGCGGCTGCAGCCTTTTTCATCTTGAGCCAAAATAGTACAGAGGATTGAATGGACTTTGACCGGAAAGGAAGGGTTTACTAATAATGAATGAGTGGGGCCACATAACTGCAAACCTGTGGCCACAGCTGTGGACGTGCAGCGAAACCTGCCTGAAGAAACAGTGACCGAGCTACTTCTTGAAACGATCGGATTTCACGTTCCACGTGCGAATTGTGAGGAAAACGGCTCGGCACAGAGGCTTCCGATAGCCAACCTTGCTCAACTACCACCTTAAGGATCTCACCAGCAGCGTCTGATTTCACAATGGCAAAATCACTGCCGCGCAAACCAACGAAGTGCTTGCAAGATGAAGCCACTTGTGCAGCATCCCGGGAAACTGAAGGATATGCTTGAATGACTTTCGAGGAATGATCTTGGATGATGAATACAGCATGTTCTTTTCCCTTAGCCTTAGCTGATCTGAAAACGATGATGTGTTGATGTGATCACATGCAAGTTGTTGATCAGGATCCGGCAAGTCAATACGATCATCAGACTGACGAACCGAACGCGCTCTTTTGCTGTACAACTGAGCTCGATTGCAAACATCACAAAAGGTTGATTTTGGCCAATGAGTCAAACAATGCTCCTTTGATAACGCGGTACCCCGACCCTCCGCAACTTTACCTGGAATCTCAACTGGAGCGTCACCAAGCTTTGGAGGATCATGCCCAACAGCGACACTACCACGTCCTTGAGGAGAATGGACAGAATCGGGCTGGAACAAAGGATCTGC